AACCGCAGTTAGGCTTTGGAAAGATTTTAAGAGGGACGCTGCTGCCTATCCCTCGCCCTACCTTAATCGACTCTTACGACATCCACGGGAAAGTGGTGGCTTATTCTATGCCGGGACCACAGGGTAATAAGTAATAATAATTATTTTTATCGTTTTAATCCCATGATCAGCATTCAAAGATTATATAAGAACATATCTATTTAAATCACTTAAAAAATACTCGATTTTATATAATTTATAGTTTATATTATAATTTATAGGTATTATACTAATATAGTATTCATATTATAAACCTCTCGTATTATAAGACTCTTTTATTAAAGTCGGTTGAAAAGACACTCAAACCTTAACCTAGATAAAGTAAATAATTCGGCATTGGTACCCTTTATAGAAAATAATATTGACGCCGCCATTTCATAACGCATTAGGAAAGGCGACCTTGCGTATTCCACCAGAATGTGGATTCTACGACTCGTATTGCCTAGAAGGTTATATGAAAGCCAACGATAGTGACGAGCAATTTTATATTTTTAACCGACTTTATAAAGAAGGACGCTCTTAATTTAATTTTTTTTTTTATTTGTTACCTAACAACTCCGCAAGTTTTAAACCGATTTGGAAAATTCTTTTTTTATCTGAAAGGGTATACATACATGTTGGTTCCATAGAAATAAATTTTAAAAATTAAACTACTTTACCGATTTTAATTTAATTAAAGTAAAGTAGTAGTAAATTTTAGTAAAATAGTTTAATTTTTAAACCAAAATAACTGGTTTGGTTTCAATTGAGTCGGTTTTTTTTTACGGGAAGCAATCTTTAATTCTATATATTTATTTATATATAGTAGATTTTTTCCGGGTGGTCTCGGCATAGAATAAGCCACCCTTTCAATGCCAATCCACCCCACCCTTATAGAGAAGGCTTATGTTCAGCAGTTTTTTTTTAATGGATGATAAAAGGAATGATGACCCCACCTATGCTATCGGTATACACTGGCGGGGCACCAGTGAGGGATGACTGGTGAAGATGAAAAAGCAAGTCAGTTAGCCCATCGTGACAAATTCAACGATAAATTAGACACAATGGTTTCCAGGGAGAACCGCGTAGAGGTCGACCTGATAGAGTATATTGATAGCAATGGGGACTAACCTCCCCATTACTAACAATCCCTTCCCCTTATATGTTCAGCAGTTAACGGCTGACGTGATACTTTCTACCAGGTAGGCCGTGATCTTATTTGTCATACCAAGTTGTATAAAAACATTACTATACCTGATCAGTGCAAGTCCAAATTTAGTCATAAACTTAATTAAAAGGACACTTACACACCTGTCTACGTTGCAAATAGTTACAATAACATTCACTTAATAACAAGCCTCAAATATGCAATAACCAGTCAGCTGATACGTAAACAAGAATGTGGGTGGGTCTACCACGAAATTATAAATCAGAAGTTTCGAACGGCTCGAGTTTATTTTCTTTCGTTCCGATTGAACTGTACTTGACTTTTAATATAGCATATATCCTAACTCATTTCTTTTTATTATTATTCTTTTTTCAAAAAATTCGTTAATTGTTCACTGCTGAACATAGGCATCTGATTTTGCTACTAGTTGCTACTCTTGGTAAACGGTTTGGCGACCGCAGTTTGGTTTTGATGATGTATTAAGAGGAGAGTGTCGCTGCTTATGAAACTATGAGAATAAATTCAGATCAATTGGTCCATCACGTCGAATTTAAAAGATAATTTCTAACAACAATCACCTGAAGGTCGACCTGATAAGGTTTAATTCCTTCCCCTAACAAATTTAATTGCATCGATATTTAGTTATGAAGTTCAATCGTGTATCTATCGTTCGGATCGTTCGAATATTTCAATTTAGAGTTTCAGAGTAGGCTCTCAAATATGTAAGTCACTGTTACACTTCTTGACATTGACTCTGAAGCACAAAATGAATAGTCACGGGTGAAAGCAACCACCACCGCCATCTATGAGAAACGGCTTGAACTTACAGCGTTGATGTAAATGAGATATATAAATAATAACAGTCCGAAGATTAATATTACATATATTGCTGCTAGGAGATACATTCTCTAGCTGTTATTTTTGATTAAAAACTTTATATATTTTTATAATATAATAGATATAAGCTGCAACTTTGCCCGCGTGAATCAATTATAATAAGCCTATGAGTTATCTAACAGAGTGATCAGCCTGTGTAACAAATTTCATTAAAATTAGTTCAGCTATTTAAGTCGATAAAAAAATCTCCAAGTAGTACAACCTCTTATATTTCTAATAATAATAAAATTTGATAATTGAAAATAATTAATATTGTGTGCTTAATGAACAATAATAAATATTTATTAAAATTGTCGTCAATTTCCTAATCAAAAAGAAATTATAGTAAAATTTTATAGTGGTTACAACAAAAGGGTATTATTGTATCTAATTGTTAAACAAATTATTAAAGATATATAAAGATATATTTATTTAACAAAGTATGTTTTTATTAGCACAGAATTTATCATTGCTTCCTACACTGGGCTGAGATTGTCCTGTAGCAAGCAGAACTCGTGTTATCATATATATGCATAGAGATGTTAAACATAGGCTTTTTAGCAGTATTGACAATTGCGTAACTAATTTGTATAATGTTCTATGAAATGTACTTACGTGTTACAAAAGGTTGTAAAAACGATTCTTAATAGAATTAAGAATGATTTTTACAAAGAACTTTTTAGGATCATGCTTTACATCGTCATCTTAACAATGTAATAAAATTGTAATTAGATAGTGTCTACACATGAGAGATATTTAAAAAAAATGATATGACATTTAATAAGAGCAAAAGATGCCAAAAAAATATTTTTTTGAAATTTTCTATGTCTGTCTATCTGTATCTATGTTGTGCTATCATACAGAAATTGCAGCACAAAATTAGATACAATTGTCAGAGTTGTATTTTTAAAGGTCTACCTAAAAACTAGTATATGTTTTATTTTAATATGTCATCTACTCGTAGAAATGACGTATCTCATGATTTTTCTATTATTGAATTAAACATGTACGAAGCAACGGATAGATAGTCTGTAATAGAAAAAGAAAAAAAAATGTTAATCTTGACTTCTATTTATAAATAAACACAATGTTGTCTATAGGCGACCCTTACTACTTTCCATCAGGTGGGCCGTCAGCTTGTTCACCATTCTATTTTGCATAAAAAAGAAAAAAAGAAACAAAATAAAAGTAGGAGACTTTTAAATATAACTATTTTTTTTTTATTTTGTTTGTAATATCACAATCTAAAATGAATAAAATACTTTATGACTTAATAATACATTTTTATTACGACTATTTACTATTTAAAAAAAAAATTGAAAAATATACATAGACAACCAAAAAAAAATCATTTCACTATCTATATTTTATTTGATAAATTATTTCTTATTCGATACAAAGTAAAATTACAAACTAAATAAATGACGAATAAATTTCAAAATTTTTCATCATTTGCATTTCTTCATTTACGTGCTAAAATATAATATATAGCATCCAAGGTTCCTTAAATTGCTGTAACCAACTTTAGGTATGCACATTGAAAAAATATACTTCATTATTACTATCTGTTGAAGGTCTTAAGATATGTTGCAAAACCGCAATACCGTGTGCACCGGACCTCTCAATCTGCGAGACACACACGACTCAGTGTTGCCCAATGTCATAATTTTATTAATTTTTTATATGCGAAATGACTCTTTTAAATAATTACGGTTAGTTAAAAATGTAAATAACAATATATTACTAGCAGCCTGACCTGACTTAACACGGGTCTTGTCAAAATAAAATACAGTAAAATACAATGTAGCTTTACGAGATTTTTTAGAGTGGTTATAATTTTTCATTTTTTATTTTATCAATTACAAACAAAAAATTAAATCTTTTCATCTTTATATTAGTTTAGATGGAATATATAAATCCAAACTTTCTCTATCTATATCACAATGGTATATACAATTTGTCGACATTTTTTTAACTGTTAAACTACCAAAAGGTATCAAAAAGCAAATTCACTTTCACATTTATGACATTAGTAAGGATTTTTTTTTAACTATATTGATAAATACAGTATATTATTAACCTAATAAATATTAAATATAATTTTATTAAATTAATTCATTAATTGGAAAACGGCCCCGGACTTTGGACAATCAAGAAATATTAGCGCGTACTATGAAATGGAAATAACTCTCTCCTGCTAACGCGTTAAGTCTCAATATGGAATAGTACAATATTGTTACTTATGTCCTTGTAGTTTCGTGGGAGTGAGAGCGGTCGTGATTGGCGAAACGGCGCGGTCCATTCAATTGTGGTTTGGATATCAGCGCTCGCGCACTTTCGCGCAAGCTCACGGCCAGGTTTTCGCTTTCGTTGGTCGAAATGAGATGCGCACGTGAATGTGCACGCCGTTATTGATCTCTATATATTTTTTTATATATTTTTTTTTTAATAAATAAAAATGGTGCTTTACATCGACGAAAGGCGACGGTACTGTAGACATTGTGTACTTTATGTGTATAAACTTTATTTATATTTAATGTGTAAATTAAAATTTATTCATGAAATATAATATATATTTAGTTAATTTTGATTCACGTATCTATTAATATTTTATATTATTTAATTATCAAACCAACTGAAATAAAAATTAAATTAAATTAAAAAATAGTTAAAATAATAATTACGATCTGTAATGATTTTAGTTCATATTTATTTAGTTAATAATTATTAATTAATCAATTTAATTAAAGTTTAATTCATAAAATTTCGTAATACTATTAAGTGAGCTTTTATTTATTTATAAAAATATATACATATATATATATATATATATATATATATATATATATATAAATGTATATATTTTTCTTAGTTATATAACATTAAAAATTATATATGCACATTTTTCTTGTATTAATTTATTTTTCTTTATTTTCAGGTGACAGCTTGCTAGAAGCAAATTGTTAACGTAAACTGTGTGTAGCGGAACTTTGTTACTGACATAAGTCAGTAAGTGAAGTGACAGTGTTTAGTGTCCAAATTTTTTTAGTGTTTAATTGTGACATTAAAAAAAAAACATTCAAAATGTCAGGTTTTGTGAAGTTAGCCATAGATGACTATTACTCGGACAGTAATTGGACGACAATTATAAACAAATATTGGATGTTAGCGGAAAAGGTTTCAGGTAATTATTATTATTATTTTTTATTTCATATTAAACTTTTTATTTTAAAATAAAATGGCATTCAGGAATTCGCAATAATAGGTTCCAAAAATTTTAAGCCTGTTATTTAAAATCTTTATTTCTTTATATGTATAATAAACTGTGATAAATTCAGTTTTAAAGATTATTCCAATTATTATTATTTATTATGTATATAAAATTAAATGCTAATTAATAAATTTATTTTAATTAAAAATGTAAGGATATATAATTATAAAATAGATATAAATTTGAGTAAAATATTAGTTTTATAATAGATAAAATTTGTTCCAATTTATAGAAAAATCTCTAATACTGTATCGATTCTAAAAATCAAAGTCATGACATAGAAGTAAGAAACGAAAAAGATGACCCATCTAATTGAACGTTATAATACAAATTAACTATATAGATCACAAATGGCGACCCCGTACAGGCAAACTCAATGTAGAAAAACCACCGACTATACACAATAGGGCTTTAAATGTCACTTTCTACAGTTTTCGCTTTTCTAAATATGTTCCAGAAAGTAGGTGAACGGTTTTGATTTTTTTGTGACTCATGGCATGATATACCATGACTAGTAAAATCAAAACTTTAATAACTGCCGATAAAATAACTACTCCATCATCATTATATCAGCTATTAACTGTCCACTGCTGGACTTATACCTCCGCCATAAGTGGGGTTTCGGCAGTAGTCACCTCGTTTTACAGGCCGATCTTGTCAGTCGCAGTTAGGCTTTGATTATCGTTTAAGAGGGACACTGCTGCCCATTCCTCGACAATCGAAAAAATTGACAATTCTTTAACCACCTCTACTATTAACTTAAAGCCAGTATATTCTTAAATAGAATAGAGTAGAACAGAAATAGTATTTATTTAAATAGACGTGTTTTTTTTTTTATTTACTAGCATTTTTAATTTTTTTTTATTTACTAGCTATTTTAAAAAGTAATTCTTTTTATAATACTTCTGGGTTCAGGATGTTATTATCTGCTGAGAAAAACCCGCAAGAAACTCAACATCAACCCTTTTCAATTCGTTTATACACAAGATAATTTTACATTTGTATGGATACTGTGACTATAATTATCAATGAGTTCCATTTATATGTGTGTTAAATAAGCAAGCAAACATGAACAGACTTGTTCCTTAGAAACAGCACCCGTTCACTAGTATGACGAATGAGCTAGCCATCATTGCGCTTAACCATATTTCAAGGAGCCTAACGACCCTGCTTACCACGCCGCCACCAGTTCAGACCTTATACTGAGCATAATAATAATTCTTAGATTATATTCTTCTCTCTTGGCCTTACGGCCACGTGGTCCCGACATAGAATGAAACACCATTTTCCTACCTGTGGATTTGTGTTACTTGTGAGTTACTGTGTGGCAACTAAAGGAACTTAAAAGTTAAGAAATGGGCAGCAGCATCTCTCGTAAAACGAAACTAAAAACCTGACTGCGGATGCCAATTTGTCTGCCAAACGTGGCAAGTACTGGTAAAATCCCTCTCAAATGCGAGAGACCTACTTTCCGTAGTGAACAGATAAAGGTTTCTTTTTATACCACTGAGATGGCAAACAAGCATACGGCCCACCTGATGGTAAGCGGTTACCGTAGCCTATGAACGCCTGCAATACCAGAGGTATTACAGGTTTATATGACGATGATCTCCATATGACGATGATAATCGACGATGACGTATCATTCCCTTTTAACCTAGAGTTGTAATCACAGGTATCACCTTCTTACGAATGGTGCTCCTTCATTTGTTTCTGTCTTTAGCAACCTTAGAATCATCATACACATCGAAGGAAAGGTTTTTGGGTATTTCCAATAAAAACCTCAAAATCATACCAAACTCCAAAAGCCCTATACTACGAGTATAAGAAGGGCAATGCTCACCTGATAGTGCAAATCAATATAGCCAGACCCATTACAATATTATGTCTCAATAAAACCTGATAAAATGGTAGAAAAGTTTTATTAAATTTACCAAAGAACACTTTCTAATGAAATCCTCCGCTAGATGGAGTGATTACCTCTAATGCATTCCTGGAAGTCAGTAGGTACAGGTGACTCAGGACTGTTCCTTATAACAGTCTCTGGGGAAGGCCTTTGTTCAGCAGTGGACAGTTATGGCTGATGATGATGACCACTCTCTAAATAAAATCAATTATAAATTGAAATGTTTAATAATTTTTTTTATTTATTCAGCTATAGGTATATATATATATATATATATATATATATATATATATATATATATATATATATATATATTATTTATCAGCACACTGTTTATAATCAGACCCGAGTATTTATATGTTTATCTATATTCACATTAGGCTCTAGTGAAATAAACTATAATACTTCTAAAGCGCTTAGATCACATGTTTTAATATGATGAATCTAAAGCTAAAATCCTCATAAATATTGGAGAAACTTTTAATTAAAAAAAGACGATAAAAAAGGTTATTCAAAACCGAGAAAAACTGGTCCTTACCAATTTTCATGACCCAAAAAATATTGGTGAAACTTTTAATTAATAAAAGAAGATTTAAAAAAGCTTATTTAAAATCAAAAATTGGTCCGTACCAATTTTTGTGACTTAAAAATATTATATTATATATATTATAATTAAAAAAAATAATTAAAAAACGTTATTTTAAATTAAGAAAAACTAGTCCTTATCAGTTTTCATGATTTAAAAATATTGGTGAAACTTTTAATTATAAAAAATAAAAGTTGAAAAAGTGTTATATAAAACCAAGAAAAACGAGTCCTTATCAATTTCTATGATTATAGAAATAAAGTCGAAAAACTGGCACTACGACCAGTCTATCACGGCATTCTTTTGGTTATAGAATTTTAATATAAAAATCTAGGTCTGCAAACTAAATGAACACTTTCACATTTTGACTTCAGACCGTACTCACTCACTCTTTTTTTTTAATGACATGTATAAAATTATACAAATTGCATTTTAATTGCAATAATGATTGTTGTTTTACAGTAATTGGAATAAATTAAGTATTTATCTTGAGATTTTTAAAAATATTTCAAAACGAGAAATAAGTGTTCACACCTTTTGTACGATTGTTGAAGAGTTTCACTTTAAAATAGAATACGCTTAGTTCTTTTATTTTGAACTAGACTACAGAATACCTAATAGTAATAATTAGACTATGAAAGAAAACACTGGTCAATATTGTGACTAACTTGCTTACACAAGTAAGTATTAGTCACAGATAATATTACACATATATACATATACTATATTAATGCATTAATATAAAGAAATATTTAAATCAGATCTGAAACGTCAAAAAGTTCAAAGTGTGTGAAATTTAAATACACTTTCCATGTTTCAAAGCATTTATACAAGTATAATATAAGAAGGAAAAGAGAATATTAATAATAAATAAATATTTTTTTGTAAATAATTTGATATTTATTTATTATAAATTCATATGTTGACCAACAATAATGGTATTTTTTAAATATTCCATGGTCTATATTTCAGCACTATTTAGCTTAGTTACACTAAAATCAGTTTTACAATTTTTACATGAAATGTTAAAAAATAAACTTATTACAAGCACATACACTGTACACACATAGACAGAGAGAGAAAATGGGAGAGAGGCATTAAAAGACTTGGTTCAATGTCGTTTGTATGTATCCTTACTCTATTTTTTTAACACTTTTTAACATCTATTTTTGTCTTCAGTATGATTTTACTAGTAATATAATTAATGTGATAATAATTAAAAAAAGAATAAAATAAAGAAAAAAATTATTCACGTCATAGTACTGAACTCCCGTTGAAATCTTTTGTTCCAATATATAATATGTCAGCATAGCGATTCTTAAAAAACTTTCTTTAACATAAAAAAAAAAGTATTTATATATCTTATATTAATGTACTTTGTCCCCATTTAACGTATCAGAATCCCTAGCTAAGAGTTAACAAACAAACAAACACACTTTTATATTTATAATTTTGATAAAGATTATGAATTCTCATTTGAACCAGTTGTCAGATTTCATTTTCATATAACAACGATCGAATTGACTTAAGTGAGTTAAAGTCAAGAAATCTCGACTAATTTGGGAATCATCCGGAACCCTTAGTCAAAACCTAACCTGTACTATACTATCAGCACCCAAACTGCAAAACGAAATGTCAACATAATTTTAATCGACTGACCAGCTAAAGTTTGTAACGATGAATGAATGGATGTTTATTGCTCTTTCACGGAAAAACTACTAAACAGATATGAATGGAATTCGGAACACGAGTAGGTCATATCCTGACTTAGTAAATAAGATACTTTATGTACTGATTCATGTAGGCAAAGCCTCTGGATACAGCTAGTCACGTCAATGAACACGTCCCAAGCTGAACTGAATTTTGGTGAAAATATTTTTTATCACCCTATTAGCCATTACTTGTCCACTTTTGAACACAGGCTTCCTCCATTTTAGAAGAAGTTTACCAATAGTTGCCATATTTGGCAGACTGGTTGGCAACGGCAATTAAGCTTTTGGTGATGTTTTAAGAAGTATGCTGCTGCTCATCCCTTGACCAATAAGTTTCCTTTGGCCTCTTACGACACCCACGGGAATAGAAGATGGTCCATTCCATGCCAGGACCACACGACCCATCTATTGTATTCTACATTCATACATGTATTATTATATCATCATCATCATATCAGCCTTTAACTGTCCACTGCTGAACATAAGCCACCCTCTTGGGGGGTTTTGTCAGTATTTGCCACGCTTGACAGGCGGGTTAGCAACCACAGTCAGGTTTTAGAGATGTTTTAAGACGAACGTTGCTGCCCATCCCTCACCCTCCTTTAGTGGGCTCTTACGACACCTATAGGATAGGAAGAGGTAGCCTAGTCTATGCCGGGCCACACGGCCATTATAATATAGCGTACCTTAAACAAACCTACTTCACTAG